TGCATTTTTCAAATTTGTGTTGGGGGCGGAGTTATCCTTTCACAGCGGGGTAAGTTACACTTTAAGTTTCTCAGAGTTTAATTGTATTTCTCAGGTGAGTCAAACAGGTGAACAAAAAAATCTAAAATTAAAAAAAGAAATACCCAATTTTCTGTAAAAGTCTTGACTCTTAGGAGTAAAGATGAAACTGACTTGTTAAAGCTAAAGGAAGCAAAACACTAGCTAAACGTCTAAAGAAACAAAAGGCTAGCTAGAGTAAAAAAGTAGCAAAAATCCTCTGAGCCTAAACTAGCAAGACACAACCTAAAAACCTTAGCTTAGAGAAAAAAAACTAGCCTTAGGCAATAATACATAGTTAGCTAAAGGCTAAGTGTGCCAAAATGCTAGTTACTAACAGCAAAATGCAAGATAAAAGCTAAAATAGCAAATCCATAGCTAAAAGCAGGAAAGAGTTAGCTAACAAAAGGGTACCTAAAGAACAACTACAGAATTATGAATATAATTTTATGTAGGAAATGTTTGTGAAAAAGTCAAATATTTGAAAACATATTAAAGTTACAAAGACTCCACAGCAGCCATCTGCTGAATGAGCCAAACATTTTGATATAAGAACAGCTAAAAGCTTTTACGTATTCAGTCTCATCAAGTCAAACCTAACATTAACTGCAGGTTAATTCAGTGACTTTATATGAAACTGTTGCACTTTGTATCTGATGAGAGGTTTTGGGGATGACTGACCTTTCTCAGAGTTTTTCTTGTTAATGTTTCCGTTCTGGTCTTTAAAGGCCTGGAGCTGTTTGGGCTCGATCTCCTGCAGCTCGCTGACATCTGACCAGTCATCCTCGTCTTCCTCACTGACCATCTTTGTGACGGCTGTCTGGGTCACGAACGGTTGGCCCTGCTGAGGTCTGGAGGTCAGGACCGGACTGGGTTTACTGGCTTTGGTGGGTGACTTGTTCCTTCGGGGCTCCTCCTCCTCCTCCTCCTCTTCTTCATCTGAACTAAATGGAGGGGTTCTAAATAATACAGAGCACAGAATCTATAACTGAGTTCTGATTACCATGCTCATACGACCCAAACTCGTACCTGCTGGTGATGATCCTCCCAGTGGTCCTGCTGTTGGGTGTAGATGTCTTGGGTTGAACGGTTCTGGTTCTTGGAGCCGGCTGTGGGGTCTTGGGCTGTTTGATGTTAGCCGTCACCTGGCTGGCTCTGGAGGGCAGGCTGCTGGACCGCTTGCGGCTCTGCATCACTGCACGCAGACAAAAGCCATTTCACTTAAAGCCACCGAGCGGATCAGAACCTAAACCAGTTTAAACCCGGCTCTACAGAACCAGTCTGCGGGCCAGATTGAGAGCTTTGACAGATGAGCTCATGTGTTAAGAAGCTTTTTTTTGGATGACTCAGTCAGATAAAGCACCTTGAACCAGCTGCTTGGTTCTGCTCTGGGAATCCGGAGCAGCTTGGTTCCCTCTCCTCTGAGCTTCCAGTTTCTGATCCACGAGGCCCGTCTGCTCCTCCCGACAGCGCCAGAAGTCAGGCAAAGCTCTCGCTGCAGCTTCACGCTTCGAGTTCAGCTTGGCCAGGAGAGATATGAGCTCCTTGTTTTTTAGACGACTTTGATCCTGAAAGAAGCAAGAGGCTTAACAAAAATCAGACACACAGAACCCTGAACAGAACCGTGCCAGGACCAGGTAACCTACACTCCGGACACCCAGACTCTCTAGTTTCTTGATAACAGAGAGTTCAATCTCCGGTCTCATCTCCTTCTTCATGTTGGGGTTCATCTTCAGAATGCTGCTGGGGGTCCTCTGCTTCTTCACCACCGGCCGTTTCTCAGAGATGCTGCTGGAGTCTAGGGG